AAACTCCCTTTGAACAGGAAACAAGTGTGAGCGGCCATCTGTCGAGGCCGACTGCCGTTCAAGGAGACAGAAGCAGTCCTACAGAAAGAAGCAGCGATACAAAAGGCAGCTGTAAAAGGCGGCCCCGTCCAGGAAACAAACAAACAGCCAGGCAGACGAGCTCCGAGCAAGCTCCCATGTCGGAGGATGAAGAAAGCACATGCAGTTAGTCACAGTCAACCCAGAACTTATCGACCAATAAGTCCATCATTCAATGACTTAACAGTCCTAGCTTGCAAATAACCTCCTCTCATGGTTAGAGACTTAGACTTAGACTTAGACTTGACTTTATTAATCCCTTGGGATTACTCCCTTCGGGAAATTGTATTTCCAGTAGCAGGAAAAATTGCACATATAAGAAAAAAGAGGATGTTTAGACACAGTATATACAATAGAAAAATAAAATAAAATCAATTAAATAAGGTGTAGGAAGATGTATTGGGGGATGGGGATAGACAAATAAATGGGCTATAGCAAAAACAATGACTTAAATTAACAGTTATGTAGTGTATTGCACTTGAATGGTTGAGAAAAAAGAGTGTCCAGATTATAAAAACCAAAGCGAGTATCTACAACTCCTTCACTTCTGTTCTCTTAACTCTATTTCCTACTCCCCCCCAGAGAGGAGTTATAGAGCCTGATGGCATGAGGGACAAAGGAGTTCCTGAGTCTGTTGGTCCTACATTTGGGAAGGAGCAGCCTCCCACTGAACAGGCTCCTCTGTTTGCTGATGACGGTGTGCAGGGGATGACTGACATTGTCAATAATGTCCAGCAGTTTGTCCAGTGTCCTCCTCTCTGCTACCGTCACCAGTGAGTCCAGTTTCATGCCGACCACAGAACCGGCCCGCCTGATCAGTTTATCCAGCCTGGAGGTGTCCTTCTTAGATGTGCTGCCCCCCCAGCACACTACAGTGTAAAAAAGGAAGCTGGCAACCACAGACTGGTAGAACATCCACAACAGTTTGCTGCAGATGTTAAAAGATCGCAGCCTCCTCAGGAAGTACATCCTACTCTGTGTCTTGCCATACAGGTGGCTGGTGTGTGTTGTCCAGTCCAGTTTATTGTCCAGCCACAGCCCGGAGAAGGACCTCGCTGCAGCAAACAGAAAGGGGCGGGGACGGACCTTTCCGTCAGTCCCATACCTTATTTGGAAATGGGACTATTGCATTCCGGAAATGAAGGGGGCGCTATTTTCATAATCACTAGTATAAATGCCTTAAAGACGCGGGGTTAAGAGGAAAGGAAGAAGAAAGAAAGAAGTTTGAAAAGTTTTTGCACTGGTGTTCGGCACACGATCCATAATGCAAAACCCACAAAATCAACAAAAGGTAATTTTACCTTCTTAAAAAATTTTTTCACATAGTAAATTAATACGCTTTTCTAGATTCAGTTTTTTAAGAAAACCTTCAATTTGTCCTTTTTAAAAGGTCCAGAGAAGAACTACAAAAGGAGAGAAAGCGGAAAAAAGTTGATGAGAGGGCAAAATGTGAGGTAAGCTGTAGCTAAAATTCATCACTTTGTTGATTTAAGTCATAGAATTTGTATTATGTCCATTCACAGTGTACTTTTGTTCTATGCTTATTTTTTTTAAGTCTGAAAGAAAATCAGGATAGAAGAATTAAAAGGGTTGAAGCAGTTTTGATGTTATTTGGACTTGCATTCATCTTTCACTTAGAACATATCTGTATTTTTACAGACTCTGTGTGCTGATGACCACACCTATGCCAAAGGAGCCGAAGCACAAATTGAGGTTCATTTTTTAAATTTACACATAACTAGTAATTTTGATTTGTGTATCTTTATGTGCAAATGAGACTAAAACCCTAAATGATTTTTTTTTTTTTTATTAAAATTCATTATTTGGACAACTTTTTTTTATATCATTAGAGATGAAAGGATAAGATACTGAGAGATATAAAGTATTAATTATTGTTTAATGCTCTTCACCATGCAGGTAGAAAGGATACCGCCAATCTTACAGGTAAGATTCATTCATAATCATATGTATCATCCATTCTTCCTGTATGACAGTCTTGCAATGCACCTGTTTTTTATTTTGTTTGTTTTTTTATTTTTTTATTGTCAGATGCGGAGGAGAGGAGAGTACCCTCGTTACTACTGTGATGGCATACCTGGACTTTGCCCTGAGTGCCAACATTGAATTCAAAGAAAATATAAGTTGCTTTCCACAATCTGTCACATATTGTTAGTTTTTTTTTTTGTGACATGCCATTTGAAATCGTTTCTGATAAAGAATATTTACCTTTTGACTTGTGCAGTCCTCCTTTTTCATAATGTGTTCTTTCAATATTATTTACATTTTTGAAAGTTCCTTTTGTTGTAGCTCAGTTGATTTACATAATTTAGTTTTCATAGAAATGGTGTCGTTTCCACAAAGTTACATTGTGGCTGTAATTTGTTGGAGAGACAGTAGAACCAATAAAGTAGTTGTAAATATATTGTAACAGCGTTGTTTAACAATTGGAAGATCTTGTTGGAAAATTTTAAATGCAAGCAAAGCTAATAACTTGCGATATACAATGTTTCCTATACATTTTTGAACAATGACTGGAATAAATACAAATTTTCTTTACAAACCTGACATACAGACAAGTTGTTTATGTTTTAACAGTTAGAATCCACTTGTTTTATGTAATAAAAAATAAGTTGCAGAAACATATTGTTCAGATACAAACATAAGATTAAACGAGCAAAGCGAAGGTGTAATCAGGGTGGAGGTGATGGAAGCTCAGGTGAGGAGCAGTTGCACACATCAAGCTGGACTTTATGAAGGGTGAAGGACTTGAGACCGGTGCCGTTAGGCTGGGAGGGAGGCACCTGAGCAGGTGATTGGCTGAGCAGGTGAGATGAAGACAGACTTTATTCAAAAAGGTTTTCATGTAGAAAAAAGATAATTCTCTGGTGGTTACCAGTACAGTGTCTACTGCCGGGATCAGAAAGTTGAAGATTATTGTCAAATGAACTTTCTAAAACCTACTTTCTGTGCGAGTCTTTCCAGGTTGAAGCTACATTTAAGGTTTTAATTAATCACTTTGGGTTTTGCTACAATTGGATATTCATGTTTTTGAAGTGCAGTTTATGAATTTATTGCAATTGATAAAATTAATATGGTATTTCTAAATGGAATAGTGGGACACCAGTCAGTTTACTAGTTGAGCTGGAGTCCTTATAGGAGACATTATGGTTAATAATGATAATAATTGAGCCAGGTCACCTGCAACCAAGTATATTCTATTTACCGAATGGCACTTGTTAAAAGTTCAAAAGTCCTTTGGTTTGTTTGTAAATTATATTCACAATGAGAATAATAAGAAAAAATATTTGGCAAATAAACAACAAAAGTGCACTGTGAATGGACGTACTAAGTTGGCCAAAATTGTCGACTAAATGTTTTACAGCCCAAACCTCTTTTCCATCTAGTTCTTATTAAATAAGCCAAAGGCTATTATATTTTAGATTTTAACTTATTTATTTTAAGAGTACCGTTCACAACATCAAAATATATTATTTGAACTTCAGCACCAGCATGTATTTGTTTATATCTGTTTTCTTAATCAGCGATGGACTGGGGATCTGTCCAGGGTCAGCAGCCTTCATGACCCCACTTGAGGATAATTCATAAAAATTAATGGATGGATAAATGTGCTCTTAATGTAATGTACATTTGTCTCCAAAATATTGATTTTATTTTATTTTTTATGACTTTTGTTAGACATATATAGGGTGTAAGGATAGATAAATACATCTCCATAATGATTCCTTATTGTTGCTTATTTTAGATTGTTTGTTACTAATATAATTTTAAATAAAGATTTCAAAATAAAAAAGGGACATACCACGTGACAGACATGCCCCGTGACATATCACGTTTTGTAGCCATTTCTTTACTGTTTAATTAGTATTTTTAATGTTGAAAGTGTTCTTGGGTGTTTTGAAAGGCGTTATCAAATAAAATACGTTATTATTATTATTATAATTATTATGAAACGGTCGGTACAGGAAATAGTGTCACTAGCGCCCCCGTCAGTTCCGGAATGAAATGGTCCCATTTCCATATAAGGTATGAGACTGACAGTGGTCCGTCCCCGCCCCTTTCTGTTTGCTGCAGCGAGGTGTACTTCACAGCCCGAGGTATTTGTAGGAGTCCACAACCTCCACCTCAGCTCCCCCTAACAGAACTGGTCGTGGTCTTGGTCTGGACCTCCCAAAGTCGATGACCAGCTCCTTCGTCTTAGAGGTGTTGAGCTGTAGGTGGTTGGTGTGGCACCATGCAGTGAAGTCCCTCACCAGACTCCTTACATGGTTTACATTATGGAAAAAGATGCACAAACTATTCCATAAAAATGTGTCTTTTGCTTTTGTAGTGCTGTTGTATTTTTATCTGTAGATGTGATGTAAGCCTTAGTGAATGGGACTTTCTAAGAGTTTGGAAGTATTCAACAAGGTCTAGTGGTAATTATAGCGAAGGCCATTCCTGTGACATGAAGACATGCTTAATACTTTAGGATTTGGTATTTCTTCTATTCAAACTTAAAATGGACAAAACCAAACAACAAAAAAACCCTTCAGTATTAATAGTAGTTTTATTTATACATAGACAGAATAACTAAAATAATGAGAAACATTAAAATTCACATTGAATAGAAGTAAATATCTTGTTATACAGTTATGTTTTTTATTCCCTATAGTACAGCCAGAATTCTGGCTCCAGTCTGTCATCGCGCTGCCCAGCTATCTAGCTGTTCAATCCCAGCAAACAGCCACAACCGACCAACCAAACTACCAAGCAGCCAGTTGGATATAATCAAATCCAAGCTGTCAAAAAAAAAAAAAACAAAAAAAACAGAACATTTGGTTTATGTATTCATCTTAGTATTTATCAAAAGCAGGTTTGCCAACTCTGATATTTACAGAACTAAATATTTTTATCTTGTTCTATTTTTTATTTACTGGGTCATCCTAACTTCATTATTTATCTTAATGTTCTAATTATTATTATTTTTTTGCTATTGTAGAGCACTGGTGAATTTAAAACCAATATAAAGCCACGCCACAGACACATATTACCTACACCCAGATTAAAGGCAGCCGCATCATAAATCATTTTGATGTGAGTTTGGAAGCAGCGGTTGCCAAGGACATTCTGATCCATTGTCAATCCTTCACTGCATAGTATTATCCACACAAAAAGTGTGTCCGTCTTTGATTTGCACTTTTTCTCCTTCCACACTATTAAACAGTAACGATAATGACATCTTGACATTGCTGTGTATCTTACCAAACTGTTCTGCTCTCTCTGTAGACTGCGATGGATCAGCTGCACATGCACTTCACCCAGGCCATCCACAACACAGTGTTCCAGGTTGTGCTGGGATACGTAGAACTGTGTGCTGGCAATGCGGACACCAAGTTTCAAAAGATGCAGTATAAGGACCTTTGCACGGTAAGGACAGCACTGTGCGTGCAGTTTAACTGTGTATTAGAGAGATAACGTGAGTACAGCCAATCTTTTGTGCTATTATGTCTTAAAATGATGTATTGTTTAGAAAATGCACAACCAGACATCAAACTCTTATTTTTCTCTCACTGCGCCAACACTCCTTCACATTTGTTTTACTGTACAGCCAAATGTAAATTTGCCTCATTTCATGACATGGGAATCCTTCACAGTTCCCTCACAGGGTGAAATGAAGGATGGAAGCATTGAGCAAATGATTGAGCGCATGGTGCATCGTAGCTCCTCACAAGATCATTAATCTTACTCACAATATGAAGCAGAGTGCATTGCTGCAGTAGCGCCCTCTTTCAGGCCCACACAGCTCAGTTCATCCTTTGTCTTATTCTGTCTTCTCCCAAATTCCAAATAAATCTCATTTGCATGCTCAGTAAGCCAGAACTTGGCCAATACATCACAAACTTGTCGAGACTGTGCTTTCCTCCGGAGGCTGTGTTTTATTCCGGCTAACAGAATGGAAGGGCGATATGGGGAGGTAAATGTTACTGCATCCTTATGGTTAATATATTCTTTGGTCTGTTTGGCATTGCACTTCGAGAGCACAACATTTGCCAATGGGGGGGTTGCCAGCTGTGCTCATGTCAGCAATGGCCCGTCCTTTACCTCTTACCTTTGTATTACCTCTCCTTCCTGTCACCTGTCATCTGTTCCTGTGTTTATGCATGTTTTCCTGTCCCGCTCGTAGAAAGTGGCCTTGGAGGGACTTTCCTTGGCATTTATCAAGTGCTCCATGCTGCTTTTTCTTTCTTCAACCAGATATTTAAGCCTGTTCTTTTGTTTTGCTACTTTCTTTTGCATTTATTTTTGCAGTCTTGCACATAAGCTACTTTGTGTGGTCCATTCCCTTACTTAAATCTTTGAAAATATTCGATTAATTTCTATCTCATTGCTCGTGTGGCTCTGTCTCTGAAAGTGTTTAAATGTATGAATGAGGTTGTACCTGCAACTGTGCCGTCGTTGTAGACAGATCTTGGTCTTCCCACAGCCTGCTTTCTGACCGTTTCTTCCAACACCACACACATACACTCTGGATTTAAGCTCACTGTGATCAAACAGCAATGATGTTCTGTTACTGTCCGCTCTATGCAATGCCAAAGGTAGTACATTCTCATGCACTCAAATAAAGAGAACACCCACTCACACTTCATCTTTGCAGTAAGAGCATTTTGAGCTTGTGTGAAGTAAGTGTGTGGTGGGTTTTCCTTGCTTTTACATTGATAGGTTATTTCCTCAGGGCCATGTCTTCTCACTTTAAAAATATAAATACATTTTTCATTTAGCGAGTTAATACCAGAGCATCATTCACCACAAGGCGAGTAGATCTTTGGACCACAAATTCATGAGTCATGTCCTTTTATTTTGGTAAGTTCCCCTCTGTCCCTTTGTTCCTCTGCTGTCCCGACACACGTCAAAAGACAGACACGCATACAGACAGCAAACGCCAAACACCCTGTCATTTAACAACAACTGCGTCGGTAGGCAAACTGCGGTGGTATATAGTCAGAGCAACCAAGCCTTCTAAAACACAGCATACGGATGGGTAGGAGGGGATCTACAGCCTCCATGGGAAAGGGAAAGTTTAACAAAAAATTTTCGCTTTCGCAAAGACTGTGTTTCGCAAGTGACTGGCTTATTTATGACGACGATGCTCAGCTAATGAGCTGCTCTGTGTGCAACAAATATGCAAAAAAACCCCAAAAAAACTGACAATAATTTTTTTGCTGGGTGTCCATCTATGAAACTGGAGAGAATCAGTGAACACAAACGTGTGTTTTCTGTTCACAGATACATCGCAGATACATCAACACATTTGTTTTGGCTACATCAACACACACAAAGATAAAATTATTCTTTTAAACTCCCCATGCCATTTCCATTAATGGACAACATTAAATAGTTTGCTGTTTTTTGAGTGGTGTTTTT